ATAGGATATTCTGACTTCATAGGCAGTTTCCACAGTCGTGAGTAAAATAGAAACTGAATTCCTGAAAAAAGAACCAAAATCAGCAGAGTAGAAAATTAGAATGGAATAAATATTAGCAATGAGCAAAGATAAGAGTTTCTCCAGATAAGAACTTCGTTTTCCTCCCTCACATGCAAGACATGTTTTTTTTAATTGAGACATGTTTTCAGCAATTAAAGCTCGAGATTTGTATGGGTCATGGGAAACAGAGTACCAGTAATCCCTCCTCTGGCTCTATTCCTTCCTCCTTTAACCATCCCCTTTCCTTTTCTTTGTCCCCTCCCCAACAAATTAAAATAGAAATCCTGTCCAACAAGACAACCTTTGGCTGTCATAGAAAAAGAATAACATCAAGCAAATATATATATGCAGAGAAATTAATGGATATAACCATAGAAAATGTATGAAGGAGGTGTGAGATTCTGAAATGTCATGGGTTCTCATCCCTCCTTGGGATGGATGGAAGAAGACTGAAAAGTAAACTGCAAATTAATGACTATGTAAAGGTATCAACAGGAAAGGTTTGATTTCTGGGAGCATGAACTATCAATGGACTACTGGCATGAGATGATTGCCCCCCATATGAACTGAAAATGGGTTTGGCTCAAGCATAGTAGACTAGAGAGCTTTAAAATGAATCTAGTCAGGGCTGGAGATGAAAACCCTAAAGGGCACATCTCAGATAAAGACTTCAGCATTTATGGTAAGAGGATAGTTATAATAGGCTATATTAAACTATATAAATGAGAAATCAGAATGTTGGCATGAACTTCATGGCCTTCACTGTCTATATACTAATGCTCAGAGTACAGACTGTCTTCTACTTACAAACTTTCAAGTTATGAACTTTCGCTGATATGAACAAATCTGTTTAGAACTCCAACTCAAACCGCCAACCTCCCAGAAAGTGGGAAAGGGTTAGTTTACAGTGTGCCACATACGTATGCTTGGCCGCACCCACTGCATGTTGAGAGGCTGACCGTGCAGCATTTTGGACACTACTGTTCACTGGTGTGTAGCATGTAGTGTGACAATGAATTACTGTACTGTACAGTATGTTTGCAATGAAATGGAAGAGTGATAATGGGGAAGGGGTAGTGCTAAGAAGCATCAATCCATCACAATGGAAACAAAGGTGTAGATATTAAAGAAAATTGACTGGGGGGAGAAGATGGCCAATGTGGCATGTGCATACAGCACGAATCATTCCACCATCAGAATGATAATTAAGAACAAAGAGAAGATCATAGAGCACGTGAAAAATTCAGCGCCTATGCAATTGACAATAATAAGAGAAGAGGAAAAGTGATGGAAGAGATGGAGTCACTGCTCGACATGTGAATTGAAGATCAGCATCAGCGACATGTGCCGCTTAGCCTAATGCTGATCCAGGAGAAGGCTAAGCCTGTGGCTTGCAACAGAAGGCTGGTGAAGGTGCTGCTGAGGAGACATCTGTTGCAAGTCATGGGTAGTTTGTGTGCTTTAAAGCTCATGCGAACCTTCATAATGTGAAAGTGAGTGGTGAGGTGGTGAGTGCGGACAAGGATGCAGCTAAGGAGTTCCTGGAAACCCTCAAGGACATCACAGTGGAAGGTGACTATTTGCCCCAACAAATATTCAATGTGGATGAAACATGGCTTCATTGGAAGAAAATGTCAGACAGAATGTACATCAGCAAGGAGGAGAGGACCATGCCAGGCTTCAAAGCTGCAAAGGACAGACTAACTGTCCTACTCAGTGGCAACGTTTCTGGTGACCTGAGCCTAAAACCACTGCTAGTCTACCATTTTGAGACCCTGCGAGCTATCAAGAACATCTCAGAGGGCTCACTTCCTGTTATGTGGAAGGCTAACTGGAAAGCTTGGGTCACCCTTCTCATCTCTGAAGACTGGTTCTTCCACCATTTCATCCCAGAAGTGGAGAGGTATTGCCGCAACAAAAACATCCCCTTCAAGATCATGCTAATTTTGAATGATGCCCCGGGTCATCCACCTTACTTGGATGATTTCTATCCAGACGTGAAGGTTTTGTATCTGCCTCCAAACATCACCTCCCTCCTTCAGCTGATGGACCAGGGGGTGATAGCAAACTTCAAGAAATACTATCTTTGTCGCATGTTTAGGCAGATAGTTCAGGCAACCGAAGGGGACTCTCAGATGACCTTGTGCCAGTTTTGGAAGTCCTACAACATCTACAAGACTATCAAGAACATCAATGCAGCCTGGTGTGAGGTTACCCCTACGAACATGAATGGAGTGTGGAAACATCTGTGCTCTCAGTTTGTTCATGACTTTCAAGGGTTTGAGGTGGTGGAAGAGGAGTCACAGGGGACTGTCAGCAACTTGGTTGCCCTCAGCAAGGAGTTTCAGCTCAATCTGGAGAAAGAAGACTTTGATCACCTGTTAACTTACACACATGGAGGAACTCTCCAATGAAGACCTTATTGAGTTGGAAAGCCAGTGAAAACAAGAGGAAGAGGAAATGATTGAACCATCAAAGAAGCTCCAGACCAAGCTGATGGCGGAGGGGTTCAGCTTGATCGAGAAAGCACTGTCATTGTTTGAGACGCAAGGCCCGTGTCTGCAGCTGTCCATGATGCAATCCACTGCTACAATGTCATCTATGAGGAAAAGAGGAAGGCCACCACCCAAACTTTGCTGGACCGTTTCTTCAGGAAGGTGGAGAAACATGCCAAAACTCTAGAGGATGAGCCTGTGGCATCACTGTAAAGTAAGAACTGTACATACTGTGCATGTTTTTTTTATTTGGTTGGACTCATGAACAAAATGGACTTTCAAACAGCCTCTGGAACATAACCTGTTTGTAAGTAGAGGACTGTCTGTATTGGAAATAAACAAGTTGAGCTCATGCTATAGAAAGGCATGTATAAATCAAATGGCTCTGTATATTTTGTATCTAGAATAGGTTATGCACCCAATTTCCAGACACAATGAGAATCACTTACCTACCATGTCTCCATCTTTCTGAAATCCAATTTATTGGCCTTCATCCAGCACATTTAACACCACTTAAAGCTAAGTGAATCTAAAACACCGCACTCCAAATACTTGTTGACATTTACCTAGCAGCTCTATACAGATCACGAATGGTCAACCTGCATCCCATCAGCCACATCTCTCTTAAGTTCTTAAATGCAGTCCCAGAAACTATAGTACCAATTTGGCTGCAAACAGCTAAGAAACAGAGGTAAAATTGTTGGGTTCCTGGTGTTCTCCGAGCTTACTTTTCTTCTTGCATATGTTTCATTAAAGTATATTATTTTCCTCACACCAAGATAGGTAACATCATCAGTGTGTGGGGGAGGGACATTTGCTGACCAGTTATATATGATAGCTTGTCCTACCAACCTTGATTGGGGTATTGTTTCTTCCTTGATTGCTCTTTGAATGGGTATTGTTTCATTCTTGATTGTTCCTGTTTATCTGTTTCCTGCTCATCTGGGTATAACTTAAGGCTATTTCAAGTCCTTGAAATAGGCTATTCTGACTTCATAGGCAGTGTTCCACAGATGTTTCGACCTTATTGGACTGTTTAGAGCTGTTAAAAACAGTGTGAGCACTCTTCTCTCCAACAAAAACCCAAACCAAACCAGTCCCCACCCAACCCCATAACAACTGATTTGGAAGTTCTGGCTCTATCCAGTATAGTGACATCATTGATGAAATATTTAGTTGCCACAAAGTAGGTCATGGGTAAGCAAGCTTTCTAACTCTGAGGGCCACAGCAAGCCAAGATTTCATCAAAATGATGAAATGTGCATTAGGACATCATGAAATAAAGCTTGTTCCCCATGTATGACATTGCACTGCAAGTACACAAAGAGGTGTCCATGTTGAGGGCCACACAGCCTACTGGATTAGATGGCCAGAGGCATCACACGCAAATGCCTCTTATTCCTCTCCTTCCACCTCCATCCCAGTGATCCTGAGCAAGGTCATTAAGAGAAACGGAGCAGTAGGATTTCTTCCTTCCTCCAGGGACTTGCTGACAACTGCTTTTTCTGCTAAAATTAGAAATGACCAATAATCAGGTCCCTTTTCACAGCAAAGTTGCCCCCTATGCTCAAGCTGAGAACAATTCTGCTAGTAGAAATGAAACTAACCTGGCTCTCAACCTGCAGAACCAGTCTAGGCAGATAGTATGGCAGACAGTATCAAAAGCTATTGGGAGATTACTAATAATCATCAGCTAAACTTAATTAGGTTGAGTCCAACTGGCACTTCACAGTATGAATCTGTTTTTTTTATAGTTCCTCTGCCAGTGAAGGATTCCTCTTTAATTCTTTGTGTTAATTTTTAAATGACAGGATCAGGTGGGAAATTTATAAGCTGGGATGTCATCTTCAGGGTGCATTGAGCGACTGTATGCAACCTTCAGCTGGCTGTCAAAGGCCACAGGAAAAGGGGGACTTTCTACATTCTGGTCACAGAAATCCTGACTCACCTTTCCCACACACCAATGCTGCAGTCAAGAAGCATCGAGCTGGCTGCTGAGCTGGCAGAGTGAGCGCTCCCTTTCAACGAAGCTGGCTCACGAGATAGGTGCATTCACGCCGCTGGGCGTGGGCGAATACCGTGATGTTCCTACAGAGGCCTGCAAAGCGGGTGGGGTCGACTGGGAAACGGCCACAAATTCTTAAGAGAAGGAAGCCCAGTGAAAACTGGCAGCAGAGAAGAAGAGGAAAAGGACAACTTGGCTGCCAGACTAGCTCGTTTCCCCTTGTGCCTCACGTACGCGCGCTCCACCCCCCCCCCCCCTTTAACGTCTGCGGCGGCCTCTGAGGAGACGGCACCCAACTGGGGCGGGGGAGGGGAAAGATCTGCGCGCCTTACCGCCCCCTGCACGGGATTGGTTGGAGGAAGGGGAGGGGGCTTTCACCTAACG